CACGTGTGCACGTTTCATCGCCTTCCGTCGCCACTGAAATGTGCAGGAAGCCCTTTGCCAAGCAAGAGGAGGAGGAGGGCTCGTAGGGGTCGTCTCGTGCCGCCGCCGACGACCTAACGGCCCCCCCCCCCAGCCGCTGGGCCCCGCACGCCGCGCAGTGGCCGCGGTGTCGAGGTCCTGGCGAGACACGCTGCCGATTCCCGCAGCCCGGGGTCGCCTCGCCGCCAGCAGCCCGCACGCCGACACACAAACCTCGCGCCCTCTCGGCCGCAACAGTCGCCGTTCGCCACCAGGGGGCAGTGATGTCGCACACAAACCCCACAATATCGTTGTATTGTGTGTTAGAGCGGGTAAATATAAATGTGTCGTTAAACCCGCCACCACCCGACACAGCTAACTAGTAAGGGTTGTCACGTAAACAGAACGTGTCCAATTCGTCACTAGTACAGCACTAGAGTGTAGTGTATGTGTAGTATACTAGTACAGCACACCGGTTTGTTGGAGAGCCAATCCACAACATTTACAATCCGAGTACGACTTTCGCCACTAATTACAACTAGCTTCATCAGGCGACGGCCACATTTGTGGAGAAATCCTCCTGTTTCGTTCGTTGAATCGAGGGGTAGATGTGATGCCGTCACTTGTGAATCCTTTGTGATTTGCTCTCCAACACACCGATGTGCTGTACTAGTAACGAATTGGCACGTTCTGTTTTACCTGATTAAACTTTACTAATTGGCTGTGTCGGTAGTGGTGGGTTCAACAACACATTTATGTTCACAGTATCTAACCCAAAAAACCTATTATGGATATCGGTCGCGAAAGCCTGCATGTTAAACCGACAGACCCACCACGCGTAGAGCCTTAACATAATTTTGGGGCGGTGCTGTTAGCGAGCACCTGTGCCAGCCAGCACGGCACACGAGTGGGTGGCAAGCACCACGCTAGGCCGCCTTTGTTTCCCTTGAGGCCGAGTCTACCTAGGGGAGGCCCATAACCCATTGAGATCATCTCTGGTGTTGGTCGTAAGCGGGAATCAAACTCGGTTTTCCGGGTTCGTAGTGCAGCACACACAAACACACCATCTCATCCACACAGCGACCCTGACGATCTCAAACACTCCCCCTCACCCATGCACTGACGTTCACACGCGTGCGTGCACACACTACACACTCGACTGGCACGAATACCGCAGGTGCTCCTCTGCCTAAACACCGTAGCAGAGGAGCCGTTCGGAAGAGTGGCGGTCCACCTCGTGCTGTGTGGCAAGTGCCCGTACGGCCACAGCCACACCGCTGAGAGCATCCATTGAACGTACAATGAAAACAAGTGTTTCCACACCATGTTTGTACGACTAACCTTTAATTATTTATCTTTTTGTGAATGGACGGCCCAATGATCCGAGTGCATAATAATTTGTGAAAAGTCTAAACTCATTTGAAATGGTGTAATGCTGTGCATATCGGCTAAGCCATTTTCTTTACTGTGGAGTGACCAAGGTTCATGATCACACCCTGACACAATTTGATTGATTGTATATTGTTTAAAGAAGTAAAAAAAAGTCTCATCCATCCTGACATGGCGTCATGGTCCAAACTTTTAAATTAGCGAAATTCCCCGCCAATTACTCGGTTGGGATTATAGTAACCAAAGACAAAGATCCCCCGTGTAACCTTAACAGACTTGGGGCAAGTGCTGTTCGCGAGCATCTAATGAAGGCCGGCACGGCACACGAGTGGATGGGTGGCCAGCACCACGCCCGACTGCCTTTGTTTCCCCAGTGGCGATGTTTACGCACCGCACCAGCTACTCATTTGACGCTGAGTCGACCTAGGGGAAGTGGCCCAGGACCAGTTCAGATAATCGTCACTGGTGTTGGCCGTGAGCGGGATTCAAACTCTGGTTACGAGACTCGGTAGCACTTTCCTGGACAAATGAGATAAATAATCATAACATTGCAAATGTCAGCTATTCAAACGGTTTTTGTACTTCGTAATTTTTTGTACTATATTTGACATCATGAAATGTTTACCTTCGAGCTTTAAAACAGCCTTCAGTGGTGTATGAAGTTTGTTTTTTCATTTGAAGTCTCGGCATGCCCATGTGCTCGCATGCATACAAAGTGTTTCCATGCGATAATAAACACTTCCAGTATTCAGTGAGACGCAGGACTTTAATCTATTTCTCATTCAGTAATGAAACATTGAAGACAAGCCGCAGCAGTGCGATTGCGGCCACGCAACATAAGCAACCCAAACTATGGACCATCAAAGCAATCCGCCGTGCTCTGCACTCCTTGAACAGCAAAACAACACAAACTCTCTCTCTCTCCAAGCCCGCGCATTGCGAGCAGACCTCGACATTGGCATTTAGCTGCTAAACATTTTGCCACGCACAATCGTTTTTGGCCACACTGGAATGAATCTCGACGTGCCCCAAACATACGCGTTTAAGTTTATTTGAACCAGGTGAGAAGTCAAGAGCCGACGATAGTTTGATTTGCGAGTGACCTGGGGCATGAGTCTGCTGCCAGTAGGGAGCGATGAGAGTGTGCACAGTAGGGGGCACGCACGGTGCATTGGGCAGTCATCTCGGTCAACCCATGGCACCTGGGCAGTGCCGGATTTTCCGAGTAGCAAAAGTAGCTACATATGCTTCGGGTCCCGCACTTTCAAGGGCCACGCGCTAAATGCTTTCAAGCTATCAATTCCGGTTCAGTGATTCTGCACTTGCTCTATTACTATAGTTCTATACCGCCTTCAACTTTTATGAACGACTGGGTGTTTAAGGTTAGCGATTTGTCGTATTATCTGGCTGTATAGCAAATGAAAACATACAATTACTTTACTATGCAAGTTAAACATTTGTTTTAATATTTGTGTTTTTTATTTATTTAGGGCCCCTTTATAACGTATGATACAGGCCCTGCACTCGCTGAGTATGTCCTGTGACCTTCCAGCGGGCTTTCGACACTTCGTGGCCTTAACGTGCAAATAGCCTGGCACAAGTGCCATGGTGACATTATTAATGAGTGGCGACTGGAAGTTGTTGTGCATAATTTAAATGGAGGCCGGCACACAATGGTTTACTCTTGCGAATGACGCCAGGGGTTTTTTTATTGTCCACTGGGGAAGTGGACGGCCCAGATAGTCGAAGGGTTTATTGACCCTCTCCGTGAGATAAGGGTCCCACTCGAGTTGACGCACAACTTGATAACGCATAGCACAAGCTCGTAATGAACGTCATTGTGGTGGCTGATGAGTTGTGTTAAACGTACTTTTACATATTTTTGTATGCCGAGGGACAGATTTTGGATGCGAGGAGGCGTATTGTCCACTCTGTCGTTATTTAGAAGTTTCATTGCGCCAGACAGCGACGTGGTCAGTCCAGCAGGTGACGGTCGTCACATTTCTAACCTCAACATACTTTCGTTTCGTGTCTCCATGGGACGGACCCCTTTGCAAGCATCCAAAATGATGACAAAAATAATGTTTTATCCTTTCTGGAAATAAAACAGGTGTTAGGATGTCCACACACCAAATAGATGCCTGGTGTAGGCCAAGCAGTTTCGAAGATAATGCTTATATTACAAGGCCGTAATTATAATATATTGGGGGGGGGGGGGGGGAATGCCCCCCCCCCCCAATGTTGACTCCGTGGCTACGGCCTTGCTATATTATCAGAGCGCGTTTGCATATTTTGCCTTGAAAAAAAGACTTGATGCCTTGAAAAGAGCTATCTATTTGGCGTTTAAACATCTTAAAACCTCCCGTTTTATTTCCAGAAAGGGTAAAACCTTGTTTTTAATCATTTAGTTGCGTGTCTCTGCCCACCTGCGTGGTTTTTTCCCAGGGTCACTTCTCGCACAGGAGACATCCTCGTTCGAGGAGTGTTTCCGAGTCTCGTCACCGCGCCCTCCTGGCGGCATCGCCGTCAGTGATTCGGGGCGCGATTCATGGTTTTTGCATCCGTTCTTTTGTGCGATTCTGCCGAAAGTTGATTATAATCAATGAGTATTCCACAAAAGTTATCCCTTCAAACATTTTCTGACGTTTGTTGGGCCCGTTGGCCAGGAAAAATGAGTCGAGTCCCACCCCACAGCCAATCCGCACCAACTCCAACGCCCATCCCTTGCTGATCCACCAAGCCCCACCTCCATCTCTTGCTGGTCCACCAACCCGTGCGTTTACCTCGGAGCCTCGGCACCGGCGTCAGAGATGTTTCCCGTCGCCAGGAATCGAACTCGGCCCGCTGGGATCGCATAGCAGTGCACAGACATTCAGCCACGGGGACTCGGGCCGCGTGCCAGTGAGTTGATGCGAGCGTGCGGATTTGGATGTGCAGGCGAGGTTGTGTGTGCGTGTGCGCGTGTCAAGGTGTCCTTCATTGCGATTATTGTGCAGTCACTGGTAACCGACACCGGCAATAATAAAGGTTTTTTGGGTTGGATCGCGTAAATGTATAAATGTGTCATTAAACCCGCTACCACCCGACACAGCCAACTAGTCAGGGTTGTCACGTAAACAGAACATGCCAATTCGTCACTAGTACAGCACTAGTGTGTAGTGTAGTATACTAGTACAGCATCACCGGTGTGTTGGAGTGCAAAGCCGCAACATTTACAATGTGAGTACGACGTTTCGCCAGTAATTACAACCAGCTTCATCAGGCGACAGCCACATTTGTGTGCTGTACTAGTAACGAATTGGCACGTTCTGTTATGTGACAAACCTTACTAATTGGCTGTGTCGGGTGGTGGCAGGTTTAACGACACAGTTATCTATTTACACGATCTAATCCAAAAAAAACCTCCATTATGGATATTGGTCGCGAAAGCCTCCTCCGTGTTAAACTGACACCATCGACCCGCTCGCACGCGAGAACCCCCCAGCTGGATAACGCGGACATCGAACCCTGCCTGGGGCGCCCTGGAGCCTGGCCAGACCAGGTGAATTATTAAACACAAGAGGTGTACAGTTCTGTAACTTAAGGTGAGAAGTTGCTGTGTAAACATTGCTGTACGACACGAGGACAAAGGTTTGTGTGTAAAGCACAGTGGGTCCGTGGCGAGCTGCTGCCGCTGCTGCCGCTGCCGCTGGGGACAGCCGAGCGAAGGGAGACCTCCAGACCTCCAGTCGAAGGCAAACGCTGCACGGGCAATGCGGTGAACGCGCAGAGTGGTCGCCGCGAGTCGCGTACGCAACAGGAGCCTCTTCCTTTGGGACATGAAGGTCGGGCCACGCCGGTGTTGTCGGTAAGCTCGGCGCATGTGGAGTTGACATCGACTCGCGTCGCCTGTGGGGAATTCCAACAGCGCCACCCTGGAAAGCCGCGTCGAGTTGTGGGTTGAGGATTGTTTGTTGTGCGCCCGGCACGCACGTGCTTGTGAGCACGGCTTCGACGAGAGGGACTTGTCGTTATTTGTCAGATACATAGAGTAACACCTCTCCTAAATGGGACTTTTTAACACGTTCGCAGTGGGCTGACCCTGAACGAGCTGCCCGGGCACAAGGTCCACGCACGCTCCCTGCACCCAGTCTCTTTTTTGGCCAAGTACAATGCCAACTCCTGCCTTGCAGTCCTTCGGAGGGGATAATTACAACCACCAGTCGCCCCCGGCACGTTTCGTAAATATATCTTTGTATTTTTCGTTTTCCTCACCGGCAGAATGTGGTGTTTTCGGTCTCACCAGTTTACTTGTGGACTTATGGCCTTCTAGAGGCCGGCTTGCTGATCATGTCACCGTCATATCGTCGCTGGTTTATGAACATAGGTGGTAATGTGTCGCAGAGAAACTGCAAATAAAACTTTAAAATCATTAACAGTCGCAACACCCACACACGACAAGGCGCTCGAACACTTTGCTGTGACCGTGCGCTCTTGGCAATGTTTCGTCCATTGTTTTGTATCCAAGTTAGATGCACTGCAGATATGTGGTGTTGTTACCTGAGGGCAAACAGAAAAACACTCCATACAGTGTAGATACATGTCCACTGTAGAGATATTGTGAACATAGCGACATGGCCCAGTATAGATATTGTGAACCAGGGCAGTTGCTGCTTCTAATCTAGCAGCTGCCCTGGTTATCAGTGCGGGCATATTTACCATATAAATACGTACGAAATGCCACCTGCCTCGTTCACAGTGGACGTTAAAGATCCTGTGATGTAATTCCCAAAGTTATGGTCCCAATTTGGCAACTTTGATATTTTTTCCTTCAAATCACGCAATTGGGATTGCACACACCATAGGCGAGATGTTAAATACCTCGCTTGCTATGCAGGTCATGGGTTCAGTCCTGACTCTGACGTCTGTATATTTTAAGTTTGCATATTCTCCACGTGGTCGTGTGGATTTTTCTCCAGGTCCTCCAGTTTTTCCCTCCACATTTATAATCATGCGTTCAGAGTATTTGGCTGCAATAACGTTCCACATGATAAGCCACTTCGTTATTTGTGGCCAGGTCGCTTCTGAGAGCTACATAGCTCAGTGGGCCTTACCTGGTAAAATAAAGTTAAGCTCTAGTTAACATCGCCCCTACTGCGACAAAAACCTGACAACCGTCCTGAATACGAGTCTCGAGACTTTATGAATTAAAACAAATATGGCATTAAAATCTAAATTATGAAAGCCTCACCGAGTCTCAAGACGTATTCAGCAGTGTCACGCACGGTTTCCCATGAGGGGATAACTCTCAAAGTGAACGAACCCATTTGCTGTACTGCCACCCTTGGGCACCTCGCATGCAAACACGCGAAACACACGAAACACAAGACCCGTTCCACCATGGCTAGGACATTGCTCATTACCATTTCATTAACGCGAGTGGACTGGTAATGTGAATCTCATGGAATGTCCTTTGGTAAAATTCCACTGATTAAATGTCTCCAGTGTGCGTGTGACACGTGCCCTGGTATTCGGGCTGCACGGATATCTACTTTGCATTTGGCAGAATAGAAAGATGTCTTTATTATTCGACAAAATGGCAGCAATATATAAATACGCGACGCCAAATATTTTGAACACTGCAATCACTTGACCCTTGGTAGGGCAGGGAGGGAAAAGGGTAGCGCAGTGGACTGGAGCTGCAACAGCCACACTCAACAGGAGCACGTGGCGAGCGCGACGACAACGAGAGGGAGCAGCAGGGAGAGAGCCACAGGGACCGATAGAAAGTCCATGGGCCAGAACATAAACTAGTTCTACGTAAGGTCGCAAAACTCCCGGTCGCTCCGATTTATTTACAAGGATTAACATGAATTGGATTATTTATAAACCTACTCAACCTGAAGTTGTTATCACGTGATTTTGTTGTTGGCCACATCGAGATTGGAACCACTGAAGTGATGCCACCTTGCTCAGGTGGTATCGACAAGTGAAATATCTTGGCTGGGCTCGTGGACTAAAGGGCAGATCGACAAACAGGGACAAGACACAATACCAGGGGCAGGGGGAAGCAAACGGCGGCGAGATAGCGTGGACCGAGCCGCGTGGGGAGTGGACGCACACCGACGAGGCGGTACATGCTCCTTTGTGACGCGGCGTGCAGTTTTCGTCCGAAAGTGACGGTGAGGACCAGGTGGTCACCTTTTGGTGCGGAGAGCCAGGCTAGGGAGACTCGAGGTGAGTTCACAACGATCGGAGCCCTCGTTTGGAGAGTGCAAGAGTCGGGCTATTTGAGTGGTGTGCTCGTAAGTAATTTAACGACGTGAACCCCAGCGAGGCCAGGCGGTATCGGCTTAGGTACCGAGCGTGGCGTGGAGACGGTGCTGGGCTGGTGGCGCGGGGTCGATGCGGCAGCGTGAGTCACTCGCAGCGCGCGTCCGGTCAGGGCGGTTATATCGAATTCACACCGGGTTAGCGCCATTCCTCCTGGGAGTGCACACGGGACGAGGCGGTGGAGGAGAGTACAGGTGCACGCTCCCGTATATCTTGCAGTGAGTAGGAGAGAACAGGACGTTTCCCCTGTGTATCTTGTAGTGAGTAGGAGAGTACGGGGTGCTCTGCCATGTCGCTGATAGTGAGTAGGATAATCTAGGGCGTTTCCCCGTGTAACTTGTTCTGGGTAGGTGAGTACGGGGCACTTCACTGTGTGTGTGTTGTGTGCAGGAGAATGCAAGGCACTCCCCCGTGGACCTTGCGGTGTGGAGGAGAGTACAGGGCAATTCCCTGTGGATGTTGTTGTGTGGAGGGGAGTCAGGAATGGGACCGGGGTAGAGAGATGAAGTTGTCTCCTTCACCGGGTGCCGTACTCTTGATGGCGACTGAGGGAGGCAGTGGATGAGGGAGACAGAGGGAGACAAAGATATACACAGAGCAACCGAGAGACAGAGAGACGACACACAAACATCGGTTAGTTTGACTCGACAAGGAAACTCGTCCTATCTTCTGCTCCCGTTATCCACATTACCACCCACGCATGATCGCCGACCTCCACTAAACTCCTTATCTGCAGCCGAGGCGGCGCACGCATCGCAGTCGCTGCGTGTGGGGGGCGAGGACGGCACCGTGTAGTTGTATCGGGTAAATGATGTCCGTGTGGTTATCCAAAGGCTACATTCTCATCGCTATCAATGGCCTATCTACTGCTGTACAGGGGCCTCCCCATGTTGGTCCTGCGATGCCACGAACCCACCTCACTCCCGCACGTAAACTGATCTCGTTGTTCCATTTCCGCTGTAGTTGCTCTCTCGCACGTTTCCATCCTTTGGCTGCCATTCCATCCCCAGCCCCGGCCATCAGCTATGAACCCTGCAAGCGACGCGCCCTGCCCAAGTCCAGTTGCTTTTATTCAGTCGTCAATATGTCGCCTCTAGTTTGTGTTTGCTCACTGCTCCATGTGCTCCTCTTCCTCAGTGTAATTCCAAGCAAGCATGTATTCTTGCTCCTGAGCGCACTTTTTAGTTATTAAAAGTTTCAAGTTTCTGACCGATATTTCCCAACACACAACATATACCGATTTAAACGTTATTCTTTAGATGCGTTATCATAATCAAAACATCTTTAGCAAATGTGTAAAAGCTGGAGCTTTGTTCTGGAAAAATGCCTGTTTTCTCAAACATACTGTAAAGTGATGTGCTTACAAAGTTGAATATCTTACTTAACATTATTTATGTTTGTGCACAGTTTCTTGATCAACTTTTTCTGGATCACAGTTGTTTTTGTTATAATTTATACATGGTTGTTTTATGGGCCTGATTGCTCTTTGCTTCATTGCTGCTCATGGTTTTTTTTATGTCATGGCTTCTGAGCCAGGTAACTCTTACAAATGCGATTCATCTGTGTTTCTCGAGTTCTCGCCTGGTTAAACAAAACAAATATGAATCTTGAGATTGTGTCTCTCATCTGCTGATGATCACCTGTGCTACAAGTGATGCTGGCCGTCTGCTGCTGAGTAGTGATCACCTGTGCTGTGTGTGTTGCTGTCTGTGGCTGAGTGGTGATCACCTGTGCTGTGTGTGTTGCTGTCTACTGCTGAGTGGTGATCACCTGTGCCGTGTGTGATGCTGTCTGTGGGTGAGTGGTGGTCACCTGTGCTACAAGTGATGCTGGCCGTCTGCTGCTGAGTAGTGATCACCTGTGCTGTGTGTGTTGTTGTCTGCTGCTGAGTGGTGATCACCTGTGCCGTGTGTGATGCTGTCTGTGGCTGAGTGGTGATCACCTGTGCCGTGTGTGTTGCTGTCTGTGGCTGAGTGGTGATCACCTGTGCTGTGTGTGATGCTGTCTGTGGCTGAGTGGTGATCACCTGTGCTGTGTGTGATGCTGTCTGCTGCTGAGTGGTGATCACCTGTGCCGTGTGTGATACTGTCTGTGGCTGAGTGGTGATCACCTGTGCTGTGTGTGTTGCTGTCTGTGGCTGAGTAGTGATCACCTGTGCCGTGTGTGATGCTGTCTGCTGCTGAGTGGTGATCACCTGTGCCGTGTGTGATGCTGTCTGTGGCTGAGTAGTAATCACCTGTGCTGTGTGTGATGCTGTCTGTGGCTGAGTGGTGATCACCTGTGCTGTGTGTGATGCTGTCTGTGGCTGAGTAGTGATCACCTGTGCCGTGTGTGTTGCTGTCTGCTGCTGAGTGGTGATCACCTGTGCGGTGTGTGTTGCTGTCTGCTGCTGAGTGGTGATCACCTGTGCGGTGTGTGTTGCTGTCTGCTGCTGAGTGGTGATCACCTGTGCCGTGTGTGATGCTGTCTGTGGCTGAGTGGTGATCACCTGTGCCGTGTGTGTTGCTGATAGTGATCACCTGTGCGTGGTGTTCTGTCTCTGGCTGAGTAGTGATCACCTGTGCCGTGTGTGTTGCTGTCTGTGGCTGAGTGGTGATCACCTGTGCCGTGTGTGTTGCTGTCTGTGGCTGAGTGGTGATCACCTGTGCCGTGTGTGTTGCTGTCTGCTGCTGAGTGGTGATCACCTGTGCTGTGTGTGTTGCTGTCTGTGGCTGAGTGGTGATCACCTGTGCCGTGTGTGTTGCTGTCTGTGGCTGAGTGGTGATCACCTGTGCCGTGTGTGTTGCTGTCTGCTGCTGAGTGGTGATCACCTGTGCCGTGTGTGTTGCTGTCTGTGGCTGAGTGGTGATCACCTGTGCCGTGTGTGATGCTGTCTGTGGCTGAGTGGTGATCACCTGTGCCGTGTGTGTTGCTGTCTGTGGCTGAGTGGTGATCACCTGTGCCGTGTGTGTTGTTGTCTGTGGCTGAGTGGTGATCACCTGTGCCGTGTGTGTTGCTGTCTGTGGCTGAGTGGTGATCACCTGTGCCGTGTGTGATGCTGTCTGTGGCTGAGTGGTGATCACCTGTGCCGTGTGTGATGCTGTCTGTGGCTGAGTGGTGATCACCTGTGCCGTGTGTGTTGCTGTCTGTGGCTGAGTGGTGATCACCTGTGCCGTGTGTGATGCTGTCTGTGGCTGAGTGGTGATCACCTGTGCCGTGTGTGTTGCTGGCTGTCTGCGGCTGAGTGGTGATCACCTGTGCCGTGTGTGTTGCTGTCTGCGGCTGAGTAGTGATCACCTGTGCCGTGTGTGTTGCTGTCTGTGGCTGAGTGGTGATCACCTGTGCCGTGTGTGATGCTGTCTGCAGCTGAGTGGTGATCACCTGTGCCGTGTGTGTTGCTGTCTGTGGCTGAGTGGTGATCACCTGTGCCGTGTGTGATGCTGTCTGTGGCTGAGTGGTGATCACCTGTGCCGTGTGTGTTGCTGGCTGTCTGCGGCTGAGTGGTGATCACCTGTGCCGTGTGTGTTGCTGTCTGCGGCTGAGTGGTGATCACCTGTGCCGTGTGTGTTGCTGGCTGTCTGCGGCTGAGTGCAGGACCAGGACCCAGACACCGCCATGCAGAAAAGTCTCAACAAGATGGTGTCCGAGATGGCCGCCACATCTGTGCCAAACATCGCGGTGTGTAACATCTGTGGGGTAACAAGAACATCGTTTCACAGTACCACCACCAACGAAAGACCCCCCCGTGTTGCCCTAACAGATTGTTGGGGCAAGTGCCGTTAGCGATCACCTGAGGGGCGTCACGGCACACGAGAGCGTGGGTGGCCAGCACCATGCCCCGCCGCCTTTGTCTCCTTAGTGGCGATGTTTCCACATCGCAGCGGGTACTTTGAGGCCGAGTCGACCTGGGGAAGCCCAGGACCGGTTCAGATAATCATCATCGCTGGCATTGACCCCGAGCGGGAATCAATCTGGGGTCGCCGGGTTCAGAATGTAGGGCACTAACCACTGCGCCACCGCTCCCCATAGATTAAGATCCCCCATACAGCCTCAGACTGTTGAGGCCAAGTGCTGTTAGCGAGCACCAATGAAGGCTGGCACACGAGGGGGTCGGTGGTTAGCACCACACTCGGCCGCCTTTGTCTCCCTCGTGGCGTTGATTGCACACCGCACTCGGTGCTCATTTGAGGCTGAGTCAACCTTGGAGAGGCCCAGGACCGAATCAGATAATCGTCACTGGTGTTGGTGGTCGTGAGCGGGAATCGAACTCGGGTGGCCGGCTTCGTAACGCAACGCGCTAACCGCTGCACCACCGCTCCCCACAACCAACAACACCAGGAACACCTCGAACGCCAACACCACCACCACAACAATCATACAACCAAACCACAACAACCACACCACCAGAACATCACAACAATCACCACAACAACAACCACACCACCACCACAACAACCACACCGCCACATCAATCACCACAACAACCACACCACCACCACAACACACCACCACAACAACTACCACACCACATCAATCACCACAACAACCACACCACCACCACCACAACAACCACCACAACAACCACACTACCACCACAACAACCACCCCACCACAACAACCACACCACCACCACAACCACACCACCACAACAACCACACCACCACAACAACCACCACACCAACCACACTACCACCACAACCACATCACCACACCACAACAACCACACCACCACAACCACACCACCACAACAACCACCACAACCACAACAACCACCACACCACCACAATCACACCACCACAACCACCACACCACAACAACCACCACACCACAACGACCACACCACCACCACAACCACACCACCACCACAACCACCACAACAACCACACCACCAACCACAACAACCACCACACCACAACAACCACCACACCACAACAACCACACCACCACCACACCACCACCACAACCACCACAACAACCACACAACAACCACCACACCACACCACCACAACAACCACCACACCACCACAACAACCACCACACCACCACAACAACCACCACAACCACCACCACAACCACCACCACACCACCACCGCCCCAGGCCCGTGGAGGTCTCCCACACAGAGGAGGAGGCCTCCCCAGGCCGCTCGGCCACGCCGAGAGCGGCACCGCGTAAACAACGCGTCACGTCTTTACCTCACAACTTCCTTCACGCGCAATTAACGCCCAACGCGTTTTGATTAACAAGCGATATTATTAATTACAAATGACTGCATTAAATAAATACCGTTTAATACAACTATTAAAATAACAATAAGTGTGGAGTTTAACACGAGCCACAGTACCACATCCCTAAACCGCGCGCAACCTTCGGCAACGTTCCACGCGACAGAGGAGCTGGGGCTGCTGGGCGTTGCCAAACGAGCGTGAAACAAAAGTGCAAAACAAGCAGCACAACAACAATAACACAAGAACAATAACAACACAACAACAATAACACAAGAACAATAACAACACAACAACAATAACAACAAAGTGTGACGTGGCCAAGAGAGGCGGGGACGAGAGTCGCTACTGCGCATGCGCGCGGGGCCGCCACGGCGGTTCCCACCGTCCCGGGTTCGCATTTAGACTTTAGAACTTTCGCGACTGCGGAAATTAATCGTCTTTGGTTCTTTCGGTAAAGGCACGTAGATAGAAAATAATAAATTAAAGTAATACCAATAATACAAGCAGAACCATTATTTTATTTTGAATAAAAAATATTTTATTATTTAACTTTGTTATTTCCTATCTCCGTGACTTTACCGAGAGAACCAACAAAGAAGATGCGTCCCGAGTTCGTTCCGCAACCCCCCCCCGCTCGCCCCCCCCCCCCGCTCGCCCCCCCCCCCCGCTCGCCCCCCCCCCCGCTCGCCCCCCCCCCCGCTCGCCCCTCCCCCGCTCGCCCCCCCCCGTCGTTGTGCAATGACCCGTCCGCCTCGGGTGATGACGTCACGAGCCCCCCACCCCCTGTGGGAGCCCCGTGGGGGGGGGGGGGTGCGGTACAGGGGGGGGGGGGTGCGGGTGGTGCGGGGGGGTGCGGGGGTGGTGCGGTACAGGGGGAGGGTGCGGGTGGTGCGGGGGGGGGGTATGGGGAGGTGCGGGGGAGGTGCGGGGGGGGGGTATGGGGGGGTGCGGGGGGGGGTATGGGGGGGTGCGGGGGGGGTATGGGGGGTGCGGGGGGGGTGCGGGGGGGGGTATGGGGAGGTGCGGGGGGGTGCGGGGGGGGTATGGGGGGTGCGGGGGGGGTATGGGGGGTGCGGGGGGGGTATGGGGGTGCGGGGGGGGTATGGGGGGTGCGGGGGGGGTGCGGGGGGGGTATGGGGGGTGCGGGGGGGGGGTATGGGGGGTGCGGGGGGGTATGGGGGGTGCGGGGGGGTATGGGGAGGTGCGGGGGGTGCGGGGGGGGGTATGGGGAGGTGCGGGGGGGTGCGGGGGGGGGTATGGGGGGTGCGGGTGGGTGCGGGGGGGGTATGGGGGGTGCGGGGGGGGTGCGGGGGGGGTATGGGGGTGCGGGGGGGGTGCGGGGGGGTAGGGGGTGCGGGGGGGGGTGCGGGGGGGGTATGGGGGGGGTGCGGGGGGGGTGGGGGGGGGTATGGGGAGGTGCGGGGGGTGCGGGGGGGGTGGGGGGTTGCGGGGTGGGGGGGGGGTGGGGGTATGGGGGGTGGGGGGGGGTGGGGTATGGGGGTGCGGGGGGGGGTATGGGGAGGTGCGGGGGGGTGCGGGGGGGGTATGGGGGGTGCGGGGGGGGTGCGGGGGGGGGTATGGGGAGGTGCGGGGGGGGTGCGGGGGGGGTATGGGGGGTGCGGGGGGGGGGTATGGGAGGTGCGGGGGGGTGCGGGGGGGGGTATGGGGGGTGCGGGGGGGGTGCGGGGGGGTATGGGGAGGTGCGGGGGGGGTGCGGGGGGGGTATGGGGAGGTGCGGGGAGGTGCGGGGGGGGGGAGCCGCTAGGCGAGGAGGAGGCGGCACAGCGCCCCGCGGCGTCTTCAGCGGCAGCAGCAGCCCGCGTTAAGGCAAAGGTCCCCCGTGTAGCCTGCGACACACTGCTGGGGCAAGTGCTGTCAGACGTGGAGCAGCAGCAGCAACCGATGAAGGCGCGGCACTGTGTGGCACGCGAGGGGGGTGGATGGGTAGGTGGCTCGCCCCCCGGCCCGGACGTCTTTGTCTCCCCGAGGCCGCTGGGCTGTTAGTGATGCTTGAGGCGCCTCGGGCGGTGTTGGCGAGCGGGAGAGGAACTCTGGCAGCACAGACCCCCACCGCTCCTCCGCATGCGTCGCCTGAAAGAGACGATACTTCATCGGCGACGTTTCGGCCAATGGTCCTTCTTCTGGCCTCTCCGTGTGCTGTGTAGAAGGGCCGTTGCCCGAAACGTCACCTGTCATAGATTTCTATTTTAAAGCCACAGTGTTAACATCTAGGATTGTTAGTTTAACACGTAAGGCTTTCGCGACCAATATCCATAATAGAGGGTTTTTGGGTTAGATCGCGTAAATAAATAACCCCAAAAAGCTCTGTTATGGATCTAGGATTGTGTTGTTTTGGGTTATGGTTTTGCGCCGCAGCACGCAACATATTGTGTCAACAAGTCACCGCCTCCCCTCTCACAAAGCGTTGTTGTGTCCTCCTCATGAACATTCATCAACTCCTGAACTCCTCCAGTTTTGTTCAATACTGAGAGCCTTAATTACATACCGGCGAGGATGCCCTCCTTCCCATATGCCTCCTCCCCCACCCTTCTGGGATGTGTGATGACTCCTCATGTGCCACCCTCGTCTGTTTACATTTGAGTGCAAGATTCAAATTGTGTTTGATCAGGTTGCCAACTCAACCAGAGCGGGCAGAATCTTGTAGAGTGACCCACATTCACTCCACAGCTGATTCACAATTAGTTTATTTTGGGGTAGGTTATCGTGCACGTATAATAACGATTTCATAACTTACACCCCTCCACCACCCGACAGAACCACGTGGGCAATTATTTAAATAGATTAATTTGGTTTATCAGGAAAAAAACCGGAGGAAAGTTGAGAGGCAAACATCATTTTGAGAGTTTTATTGGACGTTTCGCTCGAGATTACATCCAGTATCATCATCATCATCTCAGCGTGACAACTGAGATTCTCATTTTGATTGTCTTTGTTGTGTGTAAAGCATCAGTATTGTGCCAACACGATCGTGGAAGCCCAAGTATAAAATTCACCCGAAATCTGTTTAATCTTTCTGTAGTTTAATGTTGTTAATGTACTATAATCGGGTCTAAAAATAATCTGCCAGAGCCAACCTGCACCAAATGGAACTTATATTATTGAACATTGATTTGTGTTTGTGCAAGATGTTCGATTTCTTAGGTGGCGCGGTTGTTTTGTGGTCTGATTTCTATTTGTTTCACTACGAAACGTTACTTAATTTAGCTTTGCTGATGTACTTTTGGTGACCACGGCGGTCACTCTTGGGCGCTCTCCTGGTTACACTTGGCTTGCTGCATGCAGGTTATGCTGGAACAAGACAGGAAAGATTCATCTGGGACCCTGAAAGCACTCTCCAAGTTCATGATTTGCTCCAACGTGTACGACTGGTTCAAACACAAGCCAAGGTCAGTGACGTGGTGTGTGGGGCATGAGATGTGAACACTCATACAGCGCATGTCAGTGACTAAATATGAAGCCATTAAATTCTGCTCTTGCGTATTATGCCAGCAATATGTTCAGCAGCTAAATGCCAATGTCGAGATCTGCTCGCCTCGATGAGAGGGCTTCAAGGAGAGAGTTCGGGTAGTTATGTTCTTGGCACCTGGACATGTGAGTTACAATTTGCGCTCCACAGTGTTACCATGCAGTCCGTTGTTAATGTGAGCGAGCAATTCTGTAGGCCATTCGGGTCTAAATGGCGCCTTTGAATACAGACTACAGTGATTTACTCTATGGCCCATAGACTTTCATTGCCCATAGACTATTACATTATTTTGTATAGCAATGAAGCATACTAAACCATCCATAGTTTGGGTTGCATGTCCACAATCACGCTCCTGTGGCTGGTCTTCAATGTATCTCTATGAGTCTCTATGGATACCATTTTTATGTTTCTCTATGTATCTATGAGTCTCTATGGGTTTCCTATATGGTCCGTAGTTTTGATTGTGGCCATGCAAACCCACACGCCTGTAAAATTTCCATTCACGAAGGAGATGTGCCCATCGGCCTCTTGGTGTTCTCATGCAGTTGATGATTCCACCATTGCCTGCGACGAGGAGGAGGAATCTCAAAGCCAGGAGGAGTTGCGATGATGTTTGGGTCTTTTTTTAGGTGGTGTTTATTTTGGAGCCACGTTGCACATGTATGTGTAGGAGGCATTTTGGCTGTATCTGTTGACTGATATTTTTCCACAACGTTGCTCATGATGTTGCTGTGAAGATAATATAAGTAACAAAATAAATAACCAAGCAATCCGCCACCGCCTCCACATCCCTTATCTGTTCCTCCACATGGGAAATTAAAAAGTACTTGTACACATCCCATCAGCCATCACAACGACGCTGATGATTCATTTGTGTTGTGTATTATTTCGTTTTGCGTCACACTAGGACCCATACCCAGCCGATGGGTAATTGCCTATCAACATCTGGTAGTTCACCAGAATTGGTTCAAGGATTCCTGACTCTGCTGATAAGGCAATGAATGCCAACCGATTCAGAGCTTTCTTGCTTTGAGACAATGATGATGAAACTATGCACTCCCGCAAGACTGTGTGGCCTATGGGATGTGTAAAAAATGCTTGTATGGTTTATGTGGAGGAAGAGATGTGTGAATTAAGCAGATTGCTTTTTTAATTAGTAGGTGCATGATTTTTGTGGCTTTCTTCAATGTGACGATGCAATATGGATTGATTCTGTGCAGGGCTGATGAGTTAATGAGGAGTTATTTTTAATCACTTTTCATTAAAGCTATCATTTATATTGGGTTTGCGAAGTTATGATTACATAATTTATTTGGCAATCAGCATTGTTTTCTTCATTTTATTTTGTGTTACCAGGTTTCTATGATTGTGATAAGGTCCTCATTGAAAATGAAAGTTCATTGCCCAATGGGGTTATGACCTTTGGCCAAAATAAACCAAGCCTTTATGACTCCTTTAATGGATATAATTAGTGTATGAATTAAATACATCCGAAAACACCCGATGTTTTCATTTCAATCTCTTAGCACACATTGATGTTTTCATGAGATACATGGAGTGTTCGACAGTCGATCATCGATTTATCCGGTGGTTTCAGGGGGAAGGGGGCCCGGATTTTCAAAAACGCCGGATAATCACAAATCATCATTATTTTAAATATCTTATATTTGCACATTTTTCTATGTGTCTTTTTTTACGTGTTTACTATGTGACAGCATAAATAAGCATACAAATAGACAAAAATAAACATCCTACTTTAAAAAGTTACCGTATTTACTGTACCATAACATTTCAATCTAGAAGACTCTGCATGGGGTGATGTATATACGTGCAGTATTTTCATTGTTTAAGTTGTGTGTAGTGTATAATGTAGTGTATATGATATTTAACACTGAAATCAAACATAGCTACTTTTTTTGTCACACACATGGTGCCAATCGCCGGACTGGTTACAGCCTTTGGAGTGGTTTTGCGGTTTCGCCGGATCGGCCCGGGACCACCAGATAATCTTGGAAGCAGCCGGATAATCGTGCGCCGGATTAACGATGATCAACTGTATCTCTGTTTGTCTCTCAGTGTCCCATCCCTACTTGTGGCCCACACAAATGTGGTCTGCATCTGCCTGACCCTTTGACTCAATGTCCTTTCTATCTCAGCGCTGGGGGAATTCATGGCCTGTGGGTCAGAAGCGACCCGTGACTTTTATTTCATCTGGCCCGTGGCCACGAGGCCTTTCTCTTCAAAACAAGCTCACGGGCGATGTTCGTCCGTCACTACGAGCAACCTAATCGCGTGTGTACTTTGGAGCTCTCACCCAGATATGTCAGCTCTATTAGTGAGCGTAGAGCGGGCGCTGCGTCGCATGAGCGCGGCAGAAGTGATCCCGCACCTCCGATTAGCACGGTTGGCTACGTGCGGTGCGATAGTAGTATTTAATATGTTTTCTGCAGTGTTACTACATAACGTTAGGATGTGTGTCAATGTGTGACTGCATCTCGATGGTATCTCAGAGTCCTGTTTGGCCCTCCATAAGGGGATGTTCCCCTTCCCGGGGTGAGTAAGGTTCGGGGAGTAAGAGACAACAAGTGTCCACTGCTGACTCTACCACTCGCCTGCCTCTACCATGTACTCTGTTCAGGGTCACTCTGTTCCTGCTACTGCTGCTGCTGCTGCTATAATAGTTTCATCTTGTATCAAACTAGTTTGCTTCCTTTTGTAAAAAAAATTATTACATTAATTTTTTGTCGCTGTCGAAGCGGACTGCATCGCGTGTGTGTGTGTGACGTTTATTCTATTCTGTTGGTTTAGGATGCTGCATGACAACCTTTGACTTTCTTGTAATACACGATTCTGTTTTACAGAAGCAGTTCCTATGATTATCTGCCAAACGTGCATAACAACCCTGATCTGGATCATGACAGCAGTAAAGACAAGGTATGGAATCTCAAACTAAGCACCAAATAACACGCGTCCCTTGAGATTGATCATTCAAGTATTGCATCATACTACATTTCAGTAGTTACAACAATTTTTTAAAACATTTTCACTGGAACCATCTTAAAAATAATGTCACCCAAGATGCGAAGAGACCATCTCTATGTAACTTGATAATCACTGTACAATCTGTAACGGGCCTTGAGTGAAATGATCGATGTATCGCAATGACCTGATTTGTGAGGTGGAATTTACGGCACTGGTCTCAATGTGTGAGCTCCAAACTTGTCGACTGACGGTTGCGTGAAGAAACAATAACGTGATTTACAACAGAAACACATGCATTCCATGTAAAACCCACTCAGGGTACTGTACTACACGATATATATGAATTACTGTTTAAGAGTATGAAAGCGATATGTTATAAATACTCTAAATTCAACACAAAATATATGTTGATATTAAGTACCGCCATAGAAGTCTCTGGAGTTCTTCAGCGAAAGTAGAAACTGGCAGATTCCATTCTATCCCTGCGAATGGCAGCAACATGTACACGAGCTAAACGCGAAACGTCAAGTTCTGCTGGCCACGGCCAGAGGGTTTCATGAGAGTTCGTTCGTGTAGATTGACCTCTTCCTTCTCCGTCGACGGAGCGCAGAGTACACTGGTTTAGCGGTACACATGGAACACTCACTCGCAGCACCTCTGTGCTCATTGCCAATACGGGCAGTCCCCGACTTACGAACATGTTTAGTCCACCGTTACGTAGTAGAGTAGTTCGTAACTCGGAACACCACAATGCACTGTTTAAATGCACAAACGGTCAGGGTTATAAAATGTGTTTAAGGTTCAACGAAAAAGGGAAGCATCGTTAAAACTCACAAATAAGAATAAATATTGTACATTTGCGTGTAACAATGTAAATAGTTCCGCAGTTCGGCTCGCAAATCGGATGGTTTAAAAATAAATATCTTGCGGAAGCTCGTTCGTGAGTGCAGATGTTCGTAAGTCTGGCGTTCGTAATTCGGGGACCGCCTGTACTGGGAAACATCTGAGCAGCCTGCAGAAAGTCTGCTCCACTGAGGTCAGCGGCACCACACCGCGAAATAGACGATGTGTGCGATATAAACACGCTTACCAGCAGTGGCATTCGTGGTATTCAAGGATCAGAATATTCTTATGAACAATCGCTGTGCATTACTGCATCTCCAGTATACTTGAATTTCAGTCTTCTGAAACTCTGCGCCAACTCCAAAAACGTCACCGCCTCTTCTTCTACAGCGTGGGTTGTGTACACTTATTGTATCCAGAAGGCAATGAACAAGTGCATGGTTTTAGTTTCATATAAATAATTAAACCCTCGATTTGGCATGTGGTGCATTTGCTGGTGTGCATACAATGACATTACAGTGCTGTATGATGGTAAGCAAGTTTCCACATCGGCTCATGGTTTGTATATTTTTTATGCTGTGCACTTATAAACCTCTAGCTTAGCTGTGACATGTTTATTTTTATTAATGCCACTTTTTGGTATGTTTTACACAGAACAATTCCAGGAGGATTAAAAATGATTTTAAACTATGGATTCTTGAGGCAAGAGACCTACCTGGGACCGGAGAATATTTCTGTAAAATTTCGTTCTCAGCCGACCAGCCGTGTGCGCAAACTTCAAGCAAGCGCACGATGCCCGACGTCTTCTGGGGCGAGAACTTCGAATTCAGCGACCTCTCCGCTGTGAAGCAGGTCTTGGTTTCCCTGTACAAGGGCAAGGACAAGCACAGGAAGGGAAAGAGCAGTTACATGGGGCTGGTGTCCATACCCCTGGGCAGCGGAACAAAGTGGCACCAGTTCGTGGAGCAGTGGTACACCTTCAGCACCCCCAACCTCGGCAAGGGCAAGGGCGCGGTGCCCACAGTGCGCATCAAGTGGCGGCACCAGCAGCTCAGCATCCTGCCCATGGAGCGCTACAAGGAGTTCGCCGAGTTCCTGAGCGCCAGCTGCCTGCCGCTCTGCCTGCTGCTCGAGCCGGCGCTCGGCGTCAAGAGCAAGGAGGAGCTGGCGCGGGCGCTCGTGCGCTTCCTGCACACCGCCGGCAGGGTCACGGTACCCAGGCGTCGCCGCGCACCCTGGCCGAGCGGCCAAGCAGCTGCCGGAGACAGAGTCACTCTATAACGAGCTACATAAATCATGCAGAGTCACTCTGGCAGAACGACAATGAGCGACAATTATAGGAGTACTGTAGATGTCGTGACACGCAGAGATGCGCAGCAATGCATGTGTAAAAAGAGGTCAGCTTTGTACAGACCACCAACGCAAAATAACTGCAGTGTGGCCATTTTGTTTCTTGAGACCAAAAGCTGAAGAAGTTGTCGTGAATTAACCAACCGACGGACCAACAGTTCAATCCGTTTGTTTTCCGGCCGGCACTTGTGGCTCTGTAGTGATGGGGTTTCTCGTCGTCCACAGGTTTAAGTTCATTACAGACTTTAAATTGAACACGTTTTCTATTCGCCTGGAATATACACAAACGTCGAGCTAGTGTACTCTTTGACACGTACAGAAAATTACGGATGGTGTTTAAAGTTCTGCATTTGAACTTTAGACAAAGGTTGGCCACCTTCTACACTTTTGACCAAACCCGGACCTATTTCTCAGTCAGCCTGGGTTTATCAATACCGTATAGTTAACTACACAATACACGTACAAATGAAGTCCTGCCACTCGGAGTGGCTCAAACCCAGACAGGCGGCAACCACGGCAGCATCCCACATAAATAACTGACCCCCTCGTACATCGGAAATATAAATGTGGTTTTAGTCGTGGGTGTTTTCCGGAGTTTACCCATAAACGGATCGCGGTTGTGCCGCTGCGTTCCTCTTGCACAGGGTTTCTTGACAGAGCTGGTGATGGAGGAGGTGCAGCGCTGTGACCCGGACGTCCTCTTCAGACAGAACACCCTGGCCAGCAAGTCCGTGGAGCAGTTCCTGCGCCTCGTTGGCCAGCCGTACCTTCACCAAGTGCTGGGTCAGCCCCACTGTTGCCATGCCCCGTTTGCTGCTGGTTGAATCCTAAGTCCTTCCATTTAGGTTCTAAGCTCTTCCAAAATTCGATATGGCGGAATGTTAATATTGCGTGGAGTGGTAGTGTGGCGGTCAGTGTGCTCTACTTTGAACCTGGCATGCTGTGTTCCATTCCCACCCGTGGTTTACATCATCGGAGAGTTACGTCAGGACCAGGGCCCGATTAAGACTATGAGGGGCCGATGGCTAATAGGAGGGAAGAGCAGACGTTTGTATTCCATATTTAAAAAAATAATTATGAAGTCAAACATTTGTTACCCATGTAAAAGTAAAACAAATGTATTCGACTCAAGGTAAATTCATCAACTGTATATCACTCGCTACACTTATTTATTCTTCAAACAGATTCATCAAACGTATATCACTCGCTACACTTATTTCTTCAAACAGATGAAAGAATTCCCAGCTTTAACTGTGGAAATGTCTCGAATGATGGCATCATAATATAAAGGCAACATTTTGTCAGATGGCCGTGCTGCCGTCCCTCAGCTGTTACTTCAATGTGCAGGGCCTGCGATATATGAGGGCCTATGGGTTAATCCGGCACCGATGAGAACCGCTGCTGCCTTCCTCCCCCCCCACCCCCGCCTCTTAATCGGCCTACAAGGAACAGAGTGGTGAAGTATGGTCAATCTTTAAAAACACGACCAACATGGCATGGGGAGGCCTTCATGCAGTGGTGGGTGGAGAATGGCTGGAGTTAATGTTACGTCAATAGAATAAAAACACATTTTGTGTTTCGGTGCTGTTCTTATTTGTACCTCTCCCATAACATTTGTACCGGGACCTGAATCTCAGCCCTGTTTCCTCGACACTCAAACCCCGCCACCATGCGCAAACATGCCCTGCTCCTGGCCAGCCTCTTCGTGTCCGTGCGTCGCGTCGGCTGGAACCGTCCGGGGGTTGTGACTATTACGGATAGGCGTGCCTTGTACTCTAGTGGCAGTGCCTTATGTCGCGCAGGTATTGCCTACAGCTGGCCAGCCGAGCAGCATCGAGATCTGTAGTGAGTGAGAAATTAAGCCCGGCTCCGTACGCGTGCCGTCACCGCCACATCGGCAGCTAGGCCTCGGGGCAGCTTGGTGAATGTGCACGATACAGTTAATATGCGTGTGCCATTGTTTACGATATGCACTGTGGGGAGCGGTGGCGCAGTGGGGTAGTGAATTGCACTGTGAACCCGGTGACCCGAGTTCGAATCTCACTCGCAACCAATAACAGCGGGTGAATAGTTGAACTAGTGCTGGGCCTCTCCTAAGTCGACTCAACCTAATATTAGTACCTGGTGTGCTGTGTCAGCATCAGCACTGTGGGGAGACAAAGGCGACCAGGCATGGTGTTGGCCACCCAACACCATGCTCACTAACAACACTTGCCCCAACAGTCTGTTATGGCTATATGGGGGATCTTTGTATTGTGTGTATGTGTAGGTGTGTGTTTGTAGAGTTGTGTGATAGTGTAGCGGTTAGCGGGCTGTGCTACAATCCTGGTGACTCGAGTCCAATTCCCGCTCATGGCCAACACCAGTGACGATTATCTGAACTGGGCCTGGGACTCCTCGAGGCCGACTCAGCCTCAAATGAATACCTGGTGCACTCTGTAAACATCACCACTAGGGAGACAAAGGCGGCTGAGTGTGGTGCTGGCCACCCACCCCCACCATGTGCCGTGCCGACCTTCATAAGTGCTCACTAACAGCACTTGCCCCAACAGTCCGTTATCGACTATACAGGCAGTCTTTGTCTTTGTATGTGCATGAAAATAGCAGTTTTATCTTCCAAATTCACATTTCTTCGTGAATTATCGCACCAAACACTGGCGCGCAACGCGCCCATGCTATCTCGCGCTTTCGTGTTCGAGGTTTTACAGCCTGGCATATTTTCACACTTTTGTTTTTCTCAGTGACCGCGTTTCTAATCTGGTGTCACGATACAAACGTGAAACTTCTCCACACAACGACATTGCAACGTGCATTCTGTGCTCTCTGGGGTGCCCATAGCTCTCGTGAGGAGTGGTGGAGACAAAGAGATAAATTTAGTGGAGCCCTGATGGAGATGGCCCCGAACACAACGATGGGGGGGAAAGACAGCTCTTGCATTACCCCACAGCGGGTGCTGACTCATTGTTCTTTTAAATGCGCAAGATTGTAAATGAATATAAAAAAATGATAATCTGAGAGATTTGTAGCCGTGACTTGTTTAGCGACAAGATATTGAATGTTGTCCCTTCAACTGTGCGTTTGTGTTTATTGCAGGGGCGTTTCTGCAAGGCATCATCAGCAGACGGACTAAATGTGAAGTGGACCCCAGTAAATGCACTCAGTCGGAGCTGCAGCACAACCAGAAAGCCCTGGTGCAGCTGTGCAGCGAGGCCACGAGGAGCATCATGGCCTCCATGGGGTGAGTGCAGCCGTCTGACTGCTACCAGCGTCCACTGCCCTCACCGCCACCACCACCGCCGCTGCCGCCGTCAGGCCCAGGGGAGAAAGACTCTCTACCCACGTTCCAAACTTGCCAACTATTCGCAGTACTGCCATCTCACTACACATTACCACGGCAACAGCACCCAGAACTCCTACACCGCCACACATGCTACCATGGCAACACCACCCAGAACTCCTACACTACCACACACGCTACCATGGCAACAGCACCCAGAACTCCTACACTACCACACATGCTACCATGGCAACACCACCCAGAACTCCTACACTACCACACACGCTACCATGACAACACCAACCAGAACTCCTACACCGCCACACACGCTACCATGGCAACAGCACCCAGAACTCCTACACCGCCACACACGCTACCATGGCAACACCACCCAGAACTCCTACACCGCCACACATGCTACCATGGCAACAGCACCCAGAACTCCTACACTACCACACACGCTACCATGACAACAGCACCCAGAACTCCTACACTACCACACATGCTACCATGGCAACACCACCCAGAACTCCTACACCACCACACATGCTACCATGGCAACACCACCCAGAACTCCTACACTACCACACACGCTACCATGGCAACAGCACCCAGAACTCCTACACTACCACACATGCTACCATGGCAACAGCACCCAGAACTCCTACACTACCACACACGCTACCATGGCAACAGCACTCACGTGTACTCCCGCCCCACCACGCACCGACACCACCACACGCCCACTTCCCCTGACCACAAACACCGACGACCCCCTCGCCTGCTTCCCGCCCACCGTCCACATTGAACACTGTCACGGAGCCCCCGCACCGGCCATCGCTAGCGGCCACCAAAACTCCGTCACAGAACCCTCTGCACCATGCACCAGCCGCCTCCTGTTCACGTCGCACCGCCAGTCGCCAACCCTGATCCACCCCAAAGTCGCTGCTCGCCCACGACCTGCCGGCAGACTGATGCCCGCTGGCAGGCCCCCCCCCCCACCCGCACTGGGACAGCTGTCGCTGAGAGCGCCCTTGCCGTGCGTCGAGGTGAGCTCCTTGCAACGCTCGTCTCGTTCAAGGCACTCTGAGATGCCCCGGCAATAAAGGAGGGCGCTCTGTCGAAAACAAAATCACTCTCATTATTATTGTCGTTGTCGTTGTTACACGAGATTATCGACTTATCTAGCGGCGTCGGGGGAAGGGGGCGCCAGATTTTCAAAAATGCCAGATAATCACGAATCATTATTTAAAATAGCTTATTATTGCACATTCTTACATGACATGTTTTAGGTGTTGTATGTTTTTAGTGTTTTAAATTCGTTCACTATGTGAAATTGGCATAAATAAACATACACATAGACAAAATAAATATCCTACTTTAACAAGTAACTGTATTCACTGTACCATATTGACCACTCCAATCTCAAAGACTGCATGGGGTAATGTATATAGTGCAGTAATTTAATTGTTTAAGTTGTATGTAGTGTATATGATATTTAACACTGAAATCAAGCATAGCTACATTTTTTGCCACACACACGGTGCCGATCGCCGGATAATGTTGGAAGCGGGATAATCGATGATCAACTGTATTATATGAATCTCCTGCAGGAGAACACCGCTGACATCCTCTGTCTCACTCGGCACACGCTGCACACACCCTCAGAGCTCTCCTGCCCACCTCTGTGAGCGCACTCGCTCCCGTCGCCAGTGGGGTGGGCGCTGCTTTAAAAGCCACGGTTTGCGCCGAATGTTTTGTCCACAGTGTGCGGAGGCTGGCCACGAAAACCCCCATCTCCATTTCGCATCAACAACAGAGACAAAACACAGCTGAGAGAGTGCGGCGGCGGTCGCCGTCGCCGGTGATAAATGGCACGTCCGCGCCGTGTCTTGTGATGGATACGTTGTCCAGATTTCACTTGAAATGTGTTTGTTCCTGCGTCTCATAGCCCTGCCAGTTTCCATGCTCACTTGTGAAATCCTGTGGCCAGGTTTTCAAGCACCTCCGATGTTGTAGCCCCACTAACTTTTGGCAGCAACGTGGAGGAAGCGTCCTAACACACCACGCACGTTGACAGGCCAAGTCTGAGTGTTTGTATTGAGCGTGGCGTGCGCGTTTACTCCGCGTAAACATCGAGGGAGATATACACGCGAGAAATTATACTCAAGAGTTTTGCTCAGAAATAACGGTCTCGGTAACGTTGCCCACCCTCGCGCACAATGTCCTGCTCATCCCTGTTCGTGGGGCCCTAGGGCGGCACCGTGATAACACTTACGCCTCATGGGAAAATGGTCCTGGGTTCAATTCCAAACTTTGGATTTTCTCCGGGTTTCTCCAGTTTCCTCCCACAGCTAACCCCCCCCCCCCCCCCCACAGTGTAACTGGTATTGGCCCAATGATGAACAATTTCCTGAAAATTACTCAAATGGGTTTCACGCTTAGGAACATTTTGGCCCGCACCTTGAAAACTTGGTATGGTTCTCCTAAAATAGTCATGAGACTCGATGAGGCTTTCCTGGGTAAACAAGCACCAGGGTAATAAGAAAAATAGCAACTTCTCCAACGATGTTGATTTTCCACATTCTACTCCGTATTTCCAAATCGGAAAACCTCGTCCATTCACGTAACGCCAAACATTTGCCACATGCTCCTGGATTTAAAGGTCTGAAGGGGTTGGTTTAGTTTTATATGTATGTTTTTGGGTGATTTGTTTACCTTTATTGTACTTTGCACTAATATCATATTTATGTATTGTTTGTTGTTGTAACGTTCTTACCCGCCCCGACTGAACATCTGTGAAAAAGCTTGATAGCTCATCGGATTCCTCCAGTATAAATACATATTCTGGTTCTGCTTCTTATATCCTATAAAAGTTCAGTTCTGTTACTTAAATACAAAGCTTCCTCACTTGGCTTTAAGGACCGTGGAGGCACATGCTGTTTGGCGGCACATATCGAAGCCGGGGTGGTGTGGGCAGCATCACTGCCAGCCACCTTTGTCTCCCCAGCGCTGATGTTTACGCCCTGCACCAGGCACCTGTCTAAGGCCTATTCAGAACCAGGGGAAAATCCACTAAGTTTTCAGATGTGCACCATGTGGTGTTCGCTCACACTCTCGCCCTGTGTGTGCGTGTAGCGTGTGTGGTGGGGAGCGGTGGTGCAGTGGTTAGCGCGCTGCGCTATGAATCCGGCAACCCGAGTTTGATTCCCGCTCACGATTATCTGAACCGGTCCTGGGCCTCCCCTCGGTCGACTCAGCCTCAAATAAGTACCCAGTACGGTGCGGAAAAACATTGCCACTGGGGAGACAAAGGCGGTCGGGCGTGGTGCTGGCCAGCCACCCCCTCGTGTGCCGTCTCGGGCCTTCATAGGTGCAACTCGCTCACAGCACTCGCCCCTGACAAACTGTGAAGGCTCTATGGGGGACCTTTGTCTTTGTGCGCGTGGTGCAGCGTGTTCCCCGCCGAGCTGCGGGACGTCTTCTCGTCGTGGAGGAGGCTGTGCGAGGCGCGAGGGCCGAGCGGAGATCAGCGAGCGGCTCATCAGCGCGTCGCTCTTCCTGCGCTTCCTGTGCCCGGCCATCATGTCCCCCAGCCTCTTCGGGCTGAGCCAGGAGTACCCCGACGAGCGCACGGCGCGCACCCTCACGCTCATCGCCAAGGTCGTCCAGAATCTCGCCAACTTCTCCAGGTGGCGTGGCCACGCAACGCAGGAGCAGAGGCTTCTTGCGGCGTGGATCAGCAGCGTTCACAATGATGGCAAATAATAACCATAGTATAGCTTTTTTTTTCGGGTTATATCACGTAAATATAAATGTGTCGTTTACCCGCCACCACCCGACAGCCAATTAGTAAGGTTTGTCACGTAAACCAAACGTGCCAATTCGTTGCTGGTTCAGCGCACTGGTTGTGTGTTGGAGAGTGAACCCGCAACATTGACAGTTTGAGCACCGTGACGTTTCGCTGGTGATAACAACAACCAGCCTCAGCAGCCGGGTTTAACGACACGTTCATATTTACGTGACCTAACCCAAAAACAACTTTATTATGGATCTTGGTTGCGAAAGCCAATTACATGTTCAAACTGTCGTAAATAATGTCAATTTTCAACGCATCACGTAGAGATAGAGGTTGACTCGGAGCCATGAGGAGGAGCCACTGACACGTAGGAAGGCACCAAAAGTTGCCCAAGTTCTGCGATTCTTGATATAGGAAGGTGTTATTGGCCAATCAATGAGGCTTTACAATGTGGGAGGAAAGCGGAGCCCCCTGGAAAAAAACCCACGCGTGCGAGGCCGAAACACTCAATCCCATGCAGACGGAACAGGTGGAGTCCACGTTTTGCTGTGCAGTCCACACATGATGTTGGAACACATGGAGATTAGTCCACACTCCTGCTGTACTGCCTTCTCCCGGCGAGCCACGTTACAGCTCCTCCTCGATGCCCATGGGAAGGGAGTTGGAGCCGGTGGAGATTGGTCCGCACTCGAGTATGGCTCTTCCTCGACGCCTACAGGAAGGGACTGTCACAACACGTGTGTGATCCACAAACCCTAACTGCCTCCACAGTGCGCTAGAGGTGTTCAGGCCACGTGTGGTTATTTTAACCCGAGCTGTTCTTAGAATATGCCAACATTGCTGGCTCTCAGGATTGATAAGTTACGTGACCCCTGTTTTATTCGGTGATATTTTTTTTATATTGGTTTTCGACGGGGGTCGGCCATTCATTTGTGAGAACCGGGGGGGCATCAATTGCCCATTCCAATGAGTTTTTATTGCAAAAATAACATTTAGCCAGGATAAACGTTGTGGCGTCATACGTTGGCATGCAGGTTCGGGACCAAAGAGGACTACATGACGTTCATGAACGACTTCCTGGAACGAGAGTGGAGCCCCATGAAGCAGTTCCTGGAGGAGACGTCCCAGGAGAGCGGCAATCCGAGCGCCCTCGCCTCGCAGGGCATCGTGGACCCGGCCCAGGAGCTCTGCAGCTTGCACTCCCTGCTCAGCGACACCACCCTGCCCAAGCAGGTACGCGACATGGAGCGGCACGCACCGCACCGATCCACACCGTGTCCTGCCGCCGTGTGCCGCATGTCACGACAACAACAAGAGCAGGCATTCATCACGAAGTAAACTATGAACTATAAAACTAAAAAGTTACGGGTGATGTCACCACGGCACTTGTGCCAGGCCAGGTGTACTCGGGCGCCACGTGAAGTGTGCAACAAAACGCTCGCACAACAACAACAACAACACACACACTTAACAGACTTTCGAGGCAAGCGCCGTTAGCTAGCACTTATAAAGGTCGGCACGGCACACAATGGAGTGGGGCTCGGCAGCTCAGTGCTCGAGCGGGCGACCTAGCGTCTCACGGGACGAGACGCCGCACCCACCACGCAGCACACGAGGCCCCCAGCGCCCAGTGTGCAGCACCCACCACGCAGCACACGAGGCCCCCAGCGCCCAGTGTGCAGCACCCACCACCACGTGACACACGAGACCCCCAGCGCTCAGCTTGCAGCACCCACCACCACGTGACACACGAGGCCCCCAGCGCCCAGCGTGCAGCACCCACCATCACGTGACACACGAGGCCCCCAGCGCCCAGCGTGCAGCACCCACCACCACGTGACACACGAGGCCCCCAGCGCCCAGCGTGCAGCACCCACCACCACGTGACACACGAGACCCCCAGCGCCCACCGTGCAGCACCCACCACCACGTGACACACGAGGTCCCCAGCGCTCAGCTTGCAGCACCCACCACCACGTGACACACGAGACCCCCAGCGCCCAGCGTGCAGCACCCACCACCACGTGACACACGAGACCCCCAGCGCTCAGCGTGCAGCACCCACCACCACGTGACACACGAGACCCCCAGCGCTCAGTGTGCAGCACCCACCACCACGTGACACACGAGACCCCTAGCGCCCAGCGTGCAGCACCCACCATCACGTGACACACGAGACCCCCAGCGCCCACCGTGCAGCACCCACCACCACGTGACACACGAGACCCCCAGCGCTCAGTGTGCAGCACCCGCCACCACGTGACACACGAGACCCCCAGCGCCCAGCGTGCAGCACCCACCACCACGTGACACATGAGGTCCCCAGCGCTCAGCGTGCAGCACCCACCACCACGTGACACACGAGACCCCCAGCGCCCAGCGTGCAGCACCCACCATCACGTGACACACGAGGCCCCCAGCGCTCAGCTTGCAGCACCCACCACCACGTGACACACGAGACCCCCAGCGCCCAGCGTGCAGCACCCACCACCACGTGACACACGAGACCCCCAGCGCCCAGCGTGCAGCACCCACCACCACGTGACACACAAGACCCCCAGCGCCCAGTGTGCAGCACCCACCACCACGTGACACACGAGACCCCCAGCGCCCAGTGTGCAGCACCCACCACCACGTGACACACGAGACCCCCAGCGCCCAGCGTGCAGCACCCACCACCACGTGACACACGAGACCCCCAGCGCTCAGCGTGCAGCACCCACCACCACGTGACACACGAGGTCCCCAGCGCTCAGCGTGCAGCACCCACTACCACGTGACACACGAGACCCCCAGCGCCCAGCGGGCAGCACCCACCACCACGTGACACACGAGACCCCCAGCGCTCAGCGTGCAGCACCCACCACCACGTGACACACGAGACCCCCAGCGCTCAGCGTGCAGCACCCACCACCACGTGACACACGAGACCCCCAGCGCCCAGCGTGCAGCACCCACCACCACGTGACACACGAGACCCCCAGCGCTCAGCGTGCAGCACCCACCACCACGTGACACACGAGACCCCCAGCGCTCAGCGTGCAGCACCCACCACCACGTGACACACGAGACCCCCAGCGCCCAGTGTGCAGCACCCACCACCACGTGACACACGAGACCCCCAGCGCTCAGTGTGCAGCACCCACCACCACGTGACACACGAGACCCCCAGCGCTCAGCGTGCAGCACCCACCACCACGTGACACACGAGACCCCCAGCGCCCAGCGTGCAGCACCCACCACCACGTGACACACGAGACCCCCAGCGCTCAGTGTGCAGCACCCACCACCACGTGACACACGAGACCCCCAGCGCCCAGCGTGCAGCACCCACCACCACGTGACACACGAGACCCCCAGCGCCCAGCGTGCAGCACCCACCACCACGTGACACACGAGACCCCCAGCGCTCAGTGTGCAGCACCCACCACCACGTGACACACGAGGCCCCCAGCGCCCAGCGTGCAGCACCCACCACCACGTGACACACGAGACCCCCAGCGCTCAGCGTGCAGCACCCACCACCACGTGACACACGAGACCCCCAGCGCTCAGTGTGCAGCACCCACCACCACGTGACACACGAGACCCCCAGCGCTCAGCGTGCAGCACCCGCCACCACGTGACACACGAGGCCCCCAGCGCTCAGTGTGCAGCACCCACCACCACGTGACACACGAGGCCCCCAGCGCTCAGTGTGCAGCACCCACCACCACGTGACACACGAGACCCCCAGCGCCCAGTGTGCAGCACCCACCACCACGTGACACACGAGACCCCCAGCGCTCAGCGTGCAGCACCCACCACCACGTGACACACGAGACCCCCAGCGCCCAGCGTGCAGCACCCACCACCACGTGACACACGAGACCCCCAGCGCTCAGCGTGCAGCACCCACCACCACGTGACACACGAGACCCCCAGCGCTCAGCGTGCAGCACCCACCACCACGTGACACACGAGACCCCCAGCGCTCAGCGTGCAGCACCCGCCACCACGTGACACACGAGGCCCCCAGCGCTCAGTGTGCAGCACCCACCACCACGTGACACACGAGGCCCCCAGCGCTCAGCGTGCAGCACCCACCACCACGTGACACACGAGACCCCCAGCGCTCAGCGTGCAGCACCCACCACCACGTGACACACGAGACCCCCAGCGCTCAGCGTGCAGCACCCGCCACCACGTGACACACGAGGCCCCCAGCGCTCAGTGTGCAGCACCCACCACCACGTGACACACGAGACCCCCAGCGCTCAGCGTGCAGCACCCACCACCACGTGACACACGAGACCCCCAGCGCTCAGCGTGCAGCACCCACCACCACGTGACACACGAGACCCCCAGCGCTCAGCGTGCAGCACCCACCACCACGTGACACACGAGACCCCCAGCGCTCAGCGTGCAGCACCCGCCACCACGTGACACACGAGGCCCCCAGCGCTCAGCGTGCAGCACCCACCACCACGTGACACACGAGGCCCCCAGCGCTCAGCGTGCAGCACCCACCACCACGTGACACACGAGACCCCCAGCGCTCAGCGTGCAGCACCCACCACCACGTGACACACGAGACCCCCAGCGCTCACCGTGCAGCACCCACCACCACGTGACACACGAGACCCCCAGCGCCCAGCGTGCAGCACCCACCACCACGTGACACACGAGACCCCCAGCGCTCAGCGTGCAGCACCCACCACCACGTGACACACGAGACCCCCAGCGCTCAGCGTGTAGCACCCACCACCACGTGACACACGAGACCCCCAGCGCTCAGGGTGCAGCACCCACCACCACGTGACACACGAGACCCCCAGCGCTCAGCGTGTAGCACCCACCACCACGTGACACACGAGACCCCCAGCGCTCAGCGTGCAGCACCCACCACCACGTGACACACGAGACCCCCAGCGCCCAGTGTGCAGCACCCACCACCACGTGACACACGAGACCCCCAGCGCTCAGCGTGTAGCACCCACCACCACGTGACACACGAGACCCCCAGCGCTCAGCGTGCAGCACCCACCACCACGTGACACACGAGACCCCCAGCGCTCAGCGTGTAGCACCCACCACCACGTGACACACGAGACCCCCAGCGCCCGCGTGCAGGTGCATTCCGCATCGCTCCGCATCGCACCCGCTACACGCACGGCGCACTCGGCCTCCGCCCTGGATGCAGAGGCGAACTGGTCAGATTCAAAAACTTGCACCGGTGTGCAGCAGCAGTGCATGTACGACATCTCTCGGCATTGTCCAGACCACCAGCTCAAGAGAACTACATATGTGGAAATATTCTGATTTAGTGAGTGGTTATCACGCATTTATAATGTTGATCCAACATAATTATTAAGGGTCAGGTGCTTTCTGGTTGTTTATACAAGTTAAGATTCGTTTCGCCATCTGCGATCTTACAGAATCTGCGTGATGTGACCGACCACTGTGAGGATCGGTTCTTCGCTGTGTTACCTGCATTACTCTTCACCGTCGCTTTTATATGGCCGTGCAATCAGCCCATCAAAAATCCGGGAAATTACGATTTCGATGATGAAATATCTGGTGATGCAGCTGCTGTATTGGCAGTGGTGCGCAAGCACAGACAACAAAAACTCAACGCATTCATCAATAATACTGTGGTCTTAAAAGGGCCATTGCCTGAAACGTTACCTATTGTGTACGTCCCTGATATCTGTCTCCTGCGACGGCACTTTCGTGTTACCCTTTATCTTGTAGGATGAGCACGACACGCTGGGCCAGCTTTGCCAAAATCCTGGAAGACATCAGCCGCAATCTGAACTCCGCAGTCTCAGCCGCGGGCGGCTCTGGCGGCGCGTCCCAGGTGTCTGCTCTGTGCCACCCTCCCTCCACAGCCACGGCAGGAAGCGTCACAGATGAAGACGGAGCAGAAGGGGGTTCTGTCGCCCACAGTGACGCGCCACGTGAACAACTTCAAACCACTCCCTCACTGGACCACGGGCACCTAACGTGTCAACAGCCGGCCTTGCGATTAGTAAACGCTCCTCACCAGCTCGCAGAGACGCCTCCAGAGAGAAGGGCACCGAGTGACAGAGAGCCAGAAAGCCTTGCGGCAGATAAAACCGTGCGGCCGTCACTCTTCTTCCGAAACCCACTGTACGATAGCCTGTGGGTGAGCCCAGCCTCTGGGGAACCCAATGGCACGACGGATCACGGACGGGACCCCCCTCGCTCCCCTCCCGCGAGCACGCGGCCGGCGCCGCGCCCGTCTAGCGCGGCGGTGCCGGTGGCGCCGGTGCCGGCGGAAGATTCCGCCTCGAGCCTTCGCTCGGAGCCGGCGCCGCGGCTCCCCGGCGAGGTGCCGGCCACGGGAGCGCCGTCCGTTGAGAGAGAGAGGCAATACGTCTTACAGTACAGAACGCAGCTCGTTTTCAGCACTGCCAAAGATAAAGTGAGCGGTCAGCACGCGGTGAGTGTTTCACGTCCGTTGTCGTTTTTTTGTGATGTTTGCGGTTAGGGCGTAATCGTCTAACCAGCGAGAGCGTATGTGAGCTCGGACAAAAATGGGGAAATCCTTGTAACTTGAGATGTGACTCAATCACATTGCCATGATTGCAAATGTGATAAGAAATATGTTTAACCCATACTCTTTGGTTTTTTCAGTAAAGTCACGTAATTAGAAATAAAATAAATCACGACGTTTCGATCGCAACACAAGCAATCGTCATCAGGTGGGACAACTTCAGCAATTGTCCCACCTGATGACGATTGCTTGTGTTGCGATCGAAACGTCGTGATTTGTTTTATTTTATTTCTACCTACGTGACTTTACCGAAAGAACCAAAGAGTATGGATTCCTGCAGTCACGAAAGCTTCAAATCAACGTGTTATTTCGGTTTGTGCCGGACACATCTACTATCTCTCTCTGTAAAATATACTTCTATGTTTCACACAAATGCAAAAGTTTTGGTGGTGAGATGTTGACTCCCTCACCTAGTATACAGGAGGTAGTGGCTTGGATCCCGACCCTGACGCCTGTATTTTTGGAGATTGCACGTTCTCCCCGTGGTCACGTCGATTTTTCTACGGGTTCTCCCTTTTTTCCCTCCACATTTAGAATCAACGTACGTTTAGAGTATTTGGCTGCTATACATTTCCACGTGATGGTAAGCCACTCCATTGAGCTGTCATTTGTGGCCAGGTCGCTTCTGAAAAATTAGCTACATAGCTCAGTGGGTCTTACCTGGTAAAATAAAAATAATAATTTAAGAATGATTAATAGTTTAATGGTTTTAGTTAGGTCATGTGGAAACTACCGCGTGAGTCCATCCCTGCGCTCTGCTGAGACGTAATCCTCGCCGAGTCTGGCTTGCAGAGGCCGTCGTGTGTGAAGAGCGCCGGCTGGTCAATAGGTTCTAGGGGCCCAAGTCCGTTAGCCCTACCCACGCACCCTTCGCCCACGGCTGCATTCTTTGTAGATTCAATTGGCTTGGTTCACAGGCTCGGTCCGTCAGTGCTCAGTCGAACCATCACGGTCTTGTAACGATGCAGCCGAAGATTGTCTCCGTTTCTGAACCGCATCAAAGTACACGCTGCTTCCGTTTGTGGACGATGCTCCTCTCTGTTTATTTCTGTCTCGCTCTACACACTGCTGAAGCTTGGGCAGTAGATTCCATTTTTTGTTGGCCAGTGGTAGCTACAAACGCCGAGAGTTCGCACAAATGTTGTGAAACTCCCTTGCTGTGGGAATGAGGAGGAGCCATTCCGTGGCTTGCCAGGAGACGGCGGTACAGCAAATGTAGACTCCACCTGGTCCGTCTGTATGGAATCGAGTGTTTCCCCCTCGCACGTGTGGCCTTTTTGGGGATGGTTTGGCCTCCTTCCACATGTTAACACTTATTAATTAGCCGATGACATTTTAATATACAGAGGTGCACAGAACTTGGGTAACTGTTGGTTCTAGCTCATCGTGTGGCTGCCTCCTGCTTGTCTGTGCCTCCTCGCGCCTCTGAGTCGTTCTCTCTCTTTGAGAGCGAGCGAATACTGTGCGGTGTGTTACAAGTGAAAATTATGATTAATGTATCATTATTATTTAGACTGAAAATGCTCTTATGATGGTACGTTTTCCTCCTGATGTATAAACCAATACAGTTAAAAGCCCCGTCATTTTCAAATGCTTTTTCCTCCTAGATGATATTAACGGGGGGGACAGCAGCCGAAAACTGGAGCAAGCCGGGAGCTCCTCCTGCAGGCGACGCTCACGCGGGGGAGGCGGCTCCGGAGGAGCAGGAGCAGGGCCGGGACGTCGCGTTCGGGGGCGCCCGCAGGGAGAGCGACGCTGCTCCGCCACCAACCACCACCGACCGAGCGACCGGCTACGGGGAGGGCCACCGAGCGGGGCCGCAGGGCGGCACGGCGGCCGCTCCTTGCCGGCTCCCTCGAGCGCGCGAGGACGAAGCGCGGAGGGCACGGCGGCGCGAGGGGAATCCGGGCGCCGGGGCCGCTGGCGCAGCGGACGAAGGGGCTCGGCCAGATGCCCGGGACGAGGACGGAGTGAAGCACGCCATCTGGTCGCCGCATTCGCAGGAGCCCATAACGCTGGACGGGTGAGTCGCGCCGATTCGACACCGGAGATCGATCGTGAGCTGCGCGGTGGTTTGTTACACGCGTACAGCAGCAAGCGCAAGGTAGCGCTTGCTGCTGTATTCGTGAGGAAGTCCGCACGCGTCTACAATTGCTACGCCCAACTGGTTTCCCCGTGTGTAGTGATCGCCGATTGCCGTCATCACAGGAACCTTCGACCGCCCCGTGCAGGGCCTTCTCGTTGACTGCCACTCGGATTAAACGTCGAGCAGAACATTTTTCTAACGAGTGAATAAAGTTTCGATTTAAAGCTTTCGTGACTGTAGGGATTCATCTTCTTGGTTCTTTCGGTAAAGTCACGTAGAAGGGAAATAATAAAATAATAAAAATATAACATAATACAGACCTGTTCTTCACTTGAGGACGGCTGCTTGCGTTGTGGCCGAAACGTCGTGAGATTATTTTATTATGTTTTATTTTTATTATGTTATCATTTCCCTTCTACGTGACTTTACCGAAAGAACCAAGAAGAGTGAATAAAGCACAAAATGACGTAATGTGAGTGTGTACACTTTCTATACATTCTCGTGGCCGAATTCTAAACGTAGAAGTGCCGCGAAAGAAACCCATCGGTCCTGCAGCAGCAGGCGCTCACTGCCGTTTCTCCCCTCTGCGAAGACACCGCGGCGTAGGAAAGGGAGCCGTTCTGAATAGCGCCGGTCCGCGCGTCCGGTGCCGTGAGAAGTGCCGGCGCGGCGTCCCGGCTAGCCTCTCTATCCCGTGCTGCCACCTGACCACCGTTGCTATGGATGTGGTGTGCGCACTAGGCTGGTGTCTGCTGCTGAGGAGATGCGGAACAGTTGCGAAGAGCTGCTGGCCCAGCTGAGAGCAGAGACACCGGAAGAGGCCGCACACTCATAGCCGCTCTGCAGCAGCTGCTGCCCACAACAACACGAGACACCCCGCTCCCCACTGCTACTTGCTCTCCTCCTTACGTAACGCGTTACGAAAACATAGCAGACTCAAATTATGCAACCCTAACCCTCGCCCTAATCCTTGTGTAATTATTTATGCTGCTTACGGACAAGGTAATTCCACTTTTGTTTCTCCATGTGAAGAACATAAAATGTTCCTAGAGGGAGAGAATAATCCAAAGGAATAAAAATAGAACCTGGACACAGGAATTGTAATGTGCGTGTGCCCTAGAGGGGTTACGCTCACAAGTGCGTGTGTGTGCGCGCGTGTGTGTGCGTGTGTGTGTGTGCGTGTGTGTGTGTGCGCGCGTGTGTGTGCGCGCGTGTGTGTTCGCGCGTGTGTGTGTGTGTGTGCGTGTGTATGTGCGTGTGTGTGTGTGTGTGCGTGTGTATGTGCGTGTGGGGAGCAGTAGTGTAGTGGTTAGCGCGCTGGGCTATGAACCCAACGACCTGAGTTCGATTCCCTGCTCACAGCTAACACCAGTGATGATTATTTAAACCGGTCCTGGGTCTCCCCTAGGTCGACTCAGCCTCAAATGAGTACCTGGTGTGGTGTGTAAACATCACCACCAGGGAGACAAAGGTGGTCGGGCATGGTGCTGGCCACCCACCCCCTGGTGTACCGTGCCGGCCTTCAGGTGCTTGCAAACAGCACTTGCCCCAACAGTCTGTTAAGGCTACACAGGGGATCTGTGTTTGCATCTGCATGTCCCTGTGCAATCTCTCCACCTACACTTCCCCGCCATGGGGAGCATCGCCCGCTACGGTGCACGTCTCGCGCTCTGGGATGTGTGCACATTCACATCCCAGTCAGTGATTGACTCAAAACACGAACCCTCGGAGATGAACGATCAACAATCGTTTTTTTTTAAAGGATGGGCTGCCCCTGCTACTGGAATAGGAAATCAAATGTTGACGGCTCGCTCGGGGCTGTCAACGGATGAAGGTGACATTTTGTTTAAAGCGGGTGGACATTTTCGCTGCGGAACTGAAATCGTCGGAGCAATGCGGCCTCTGGGCTTGCCAAACCGGGGGCTCGTTAGCGCAATCACGAGCGGCGCCTTGATTGCTCTCGGCCGCACAACTCTGAACCCTGAGACTCGAACGTGCTGCGCCGTGGTTCCCGATGCACTCGTGTGGAAGCCGGACTTGTCTCACCTCATTGTGGTTTCTGTCGTGAGTGCTTGAGACTACTTCAGCGCAAGAATTGGTTTCTAAGTCTTAATAACTAGGTTTCGTGCATACCTGTGTGGCATTGATCACAGATATCCGCAATAAAAAATACGTGCACAGTCCTGTCCAGCAGAACTCCTGTCATCCGCGACCCTTTTACCCACAATTCCTATTATCCTCATAAACACATATTTT